ATATAGTCGCTGCACTGACTTGTAAACTGTTTATTGCTTCCTTAGTGTCTTTAGGTGTTGTCATTCAACTTTATTTTCTTTTAGCATAAATAGAGCATATCACCAGTGAGAAGATTTATTTTCACAATATATTTTGTTTGACAATCTGCAAGGTATATATAAATTTTCAATATTATTTTGATATTTGTGTTAATTAATGTATTGTGTTTTTAGGTTCTTTTATTACATGTAACTAACTCAGGTTGGAAAGATAGATGTATACAGGGATATAACCACAGAATGTACATTCTTTGCAAGTTTTCCAAGAAAATTTTGCAGGAGATTTACCAGCCTTTAGCCTAAACAGACATTGCCCTGCCCACTTCCCATGCACCCCCCCCCTTCCCCCAACACCAACACCACCACACACACATGCACACTTTTGACAGATTATGCCTCTTATGCTGGTGCATGAAATACGATTCCTCAGACTATGAGTCAAAAATGAGGTATGTAAACCTGAGTTCAATTATTGATTATAAGTATATTATAATGTGTATATATAGGCCTATATCAGTAACTCAATTATTTCATATTGCCTTCAAAGTGTGAATTGTGTTCAAATTTGTTAGCTCACCTAAGCTATAAGCTCATATATGCATACATGCAGGCACCGTGTAATTCATGGACTGGAGGCTTGGAGTGGAGTTATGGAGTGGAGTTTGGAGTGGAGTTTGGAGTCAAATTTTGGAGTCTGATTTTTTTTTTTATGAGTTTGAGTTTTGTTATCAAGCACCAGCTAGTGCAATATTTAACGTGACTCTTAAGACTAAATTCAGTTAGTCTTGTTGATTGCCTAAAAATCTGCTAAAAAAACAGACAGATGTTTTTTTCCTATTTTATGTTAAATCGGTAAAGGGGGGAAGGTCTCTCATTTCCGTTTCATACTCCGTAATCTATTCCAGCATTCCAGGTTATTTTCTGCTCGTTGGAAATGCCTGAGATTTTCCGATTGTATTCTTGATTGCAATACCCAAAAATAAGAGCTACTGATGAATGCGTGATCTTTACATTGACAACTGCTCAATCATGGTATAAATATTTTCAAATTTAATTGGTCTTATTTACGTATGAAATTAAGATACAAAATTTATCAGATGACAACTCTATACTTTTATTATATTCCCATGTTGCTATTGAAGGGGACGCATGTGTTCCTTGAAACAGTGTAGTGTATATCCCTATATGATTAGAGTTATGTCCAAGACACGATGTAGTTACGATATCGACAGATTACTTTTTTATAGTATGCTACATTATTTCTTTATACTTATATGTGTATTACTTCGAAGTTTTCCTTTCTGTCACGATATCATTTCGGATCATAATTGTTCAATGGATTATGGTCCCAACCCGCAACCCCCAAAAATGCTGTTGCTTTTTTAATATGTGAGTAACTTGAATACAATCACTTTATGAAGTTTTCCTAATAGTGTCGATATCGTCACGTTCGCTAAACCCTTGGTACCGTAGTTGTCGTGGTATATGTGTGTCTATGTTTACTTTTCATTAAGGAAAATTGTAATTGCAATCGATATCGTTGATATCGACGATATCGATATCGACTGATTTTTGTCATCGCTCTTGTTTTTTTTCTTTATGCAAGACTTGTGCTTGTGTACTTTCTAAATACTAAGTTTGTCCTGCTGTCCATATCGTCGATCGACGATATCGTATCTATATCGAATCATGATTGTTAAAGACTTGTTTTATCAACCTTCACCCTAACCTTAATCTAAAACCTTACCCTAACCTTAACCCCTGACAATAACAACCCCTCATCATGTGTTTATTTAATTATTAATATAAAAAATGAATCAATATCGACATCGCTTTTGGTCTTTTATAATTATGTTATACATTAACTTGAAAAAAAAAATGACAGATCAGGATCGATATCGATACGATATCGTCATGATATTGTCGACGATTATTACAATGATTAATGTTAATGATTATAAATTTCTTTGTTTCCTCAATTAGTTATTCACAACCAAATATATACTTATATTATGAAAGACATAGTATCAGTCATATTTGAAAGCTTGTCCTAAGAGTTAAGATAATACCAGATATTCATTTAAAATGATGATAGTTTGAAGAAGTCAGGTGTAGATCAAATTATCTATTACCTAAATCTCAGGTAGATATTATATTTATTAGTTTATTTATTTATTTATTTATTTATTTATTTTGGACAGGTTAATCTTCTGGTCAACTTTACAAAGTTACTCTTTTTCCTCAAAAATGTATAACCCAAAATACTGTACTTTAATGAATAATATGCTGATGTGAATAAATGGGTCTGTTATAATCACAACACACTGCCTGCTCTTGTATAAATAACTCTTGACAGATTCTGATTAACTGAATATGTTGGACATACAGTAGCTGCATCAATTTCCTGCACATTCTTTCAGATTGGGACATGGGTATTAATTTCACTTTCATTGTCAATTTGAGTGTTATCTAAAACAGTGACAGTTCATTCTATGTTTTAATCAAATGTAACTGTTACATAAATAATGACCACAATTGCTTTCAACACATAATTAGATGATGATGATAAAACACCCTTAACTAAATTTTATCTTTCTGTCAAATCTTTGTTATTTCTGCTAAAACTTTATAGGTTTTTGACCACACAGGTGTATAAACAATGTAGGTTAAAAAATTGTTACAAGGTTGTTTGATTTTACATAGCTACTTCCATGTACGCATATGAACTTCCATGTAATCCATATTAGAATAAGAACTAGTCAATGATTTTTCTCTATATATAATTTACTTTGATTTGCACACATCAACTTAGTTTCTTAACGTGTGACTTTAAAAAAGATGATTAATTCACATAAATTTACTTAAAAAAATAAATTATATTATGATATGCATACAATATATTGGCGACTCACACTTTTAACAATTTAGAAGTTTATGGAAAGGAATGCACTATGATGCCAGTTAAAGGATCATGATATTTGTACTTCCTCTGAAATAATGCAATGATCTTAACACATGCATGCTGTTCTGTAGAGAACTAAATTAATTCAACACTAAGTCACATACACCAAAATTAAATGGTCATCGTTCACAGTTTAATCAGCATCTCGGAAACTGGGTGCATGTGAGATTCTGGCCTTTCACTAATTAGGAAATATTTCTATGAGCCAATGTAATCTTACAAAGCTTTCACTATCAATTAGAAAACTGACAGTCTATTTAATGATTGATAAAAATAAAATGAGCACTACAAAACAATAAAACTTTGCTTTTTTTTAAAGTGTAATATGAACATTTGTTGTTTTCGGATGTCTGCAGCATTTTAAATGAAGATATTTCACATTGCATCTGTCTTTTAGAGTTATTAATTATTGCCAGACAATTTAAGTTAGTATTTGCAGACTGGATTAGATAATTTGATTTAGTTGGTGCATAGTAGGTATGATTGCTTTCATACTCTATAAACACCATAGCAGGTATAAATCTTAAAGGAGACAGTGAAAGAGTGATAAGGGCAATAGACAATAGTGTGAGTAAGCAAAGATGACAACACCAGGAGAGAATACAAACAGAATGAGAATGTGAGGGTGCAAATTTCTGAGAATGGGGGAGCGACAACTCAAGGAAAAGAGAGAGATTGTTATGGCTGTCGCTATAATGCTCTTAATGCAAGGAAGAGAGGGAGTGAGTGGACCTTTTAGTACACCATATGCATGTGTATAGAGGTATAATGTGTTTAACTTAATTTAAAACTAGTTATTATTTTTTGAAATTTTACATGGTAGGCATATTGGGTAATGAATAGTTGAGTGTATAATACTGAAAAACTGCCTTCTTATAAATTGATATAAATTCTGAACCTAATAATTCTTGACAAAATTGTTAACACGTCCAATCAAACCATATTTAAACAACCAGTAAGACCGACTATATCTGTTGATTAATTATATTCAACATAGTTTCCAAACATTTTGAAAGATCAAGGGTTATCTTGTCAGCATCATGTCTGTTTATTCACTACTGATGTAATTTTCTGAAGTTTCAAATACCGCACTTGCATCAGTGTTAGAAACTCGCAAATTTTAACTGGGTCATAGCACCTATATATATGAATTGCCAACCTATTTAGTTACAAGACATGAAACAGCTAACATTTATACCAAAAAATGAGACTTTGATACTAGGCAATTTCTTTAACTTCTTTTTTCCATTATTGTATAAAAAAAAATCCCAGACTCCAAAAATTGACTCCAAACTCCACTCCAAAATCCACTCCATAACTCCACTCCAAGCCTCCAGTCCATGAATTACACGGTGCCCATACATGCATACGTTTCTCATTCAGACTACTCAAAATAAGTAGAGCAATGATCCAAATATAGCCAACTTTATGGCCTCTCATATATTGCCAGCCGGTCAGTGGTGATATATAAACACAAACTTAATTAATGTCCACAAAACTAGACCTTTGATGTATAGAGGGAATATTACACTGAACTTGGAGAATGGTCAGTGCACTGATAGGTCACGAAGGCTCGAAAGGTCAGGGCAGGGACCGTCAGAGTTAGGTAATGAGGGACTAAGCAGATAACAAGCTATTGCTGAGTAAATAGAAAGTGCTGGACAAAACGATTTAACCCAGTAACTAGAGATAGGGAGAGGTCAAACGCCTCAAATATCTGTGTATTGTTGGCCAAAATTTCTGATTCACCACTTAATTCTGCAGAAAAGAATATTGTGTGAAATTTTTGTGGTTTTTTTTATTTTTTAATTTTTTTTTCTATGAATTTTATGCTCAAATATAATTTGTTTAAGTTGATCTACTTTCCACTCCAAAAAGGGATTCTCACATACTTGAGCTATTTCTGGGCAATCATTATTGAGATATTGATGGGGTATTTGATTCATCATGCTAATGGCACCTAGATTATAACTGGACACAGCAAATATTATTTGTTTTCCAGACAGGAGCCTTGCAGTTTGGCGAGTGCCGGTATATTGTTACTATTAACATATGCTAGATGTATGAACCTGATTGTGCCAATTTTTATTACTCCTGGTCAGTGGCGGTGAGGTATCCCAGGGGGAGTCCCAGATCAGAGCCACTTTATTGACTGGGAGAAAGCTGCGAGGAGACCATTCACCTTTCCTACCCAGTGTTGGTTTATCTAGGTAAGTGACCATTCTCTTTGTTTACTTAGCTGTCACATACAAGAGTTTTTAAACACTATTTTGTGATATTGGGTCATATGTTTATTCACACTAGCTTGCTGTTTAAAGTGTAGACTACCTCTGGTTCATTCAGTAATGGATGTTTGCCAAGTGGTTTTGGTGTGTGGAATTTTATTTTTCTCCTCATTGCGTTGGAGATAGATGGGGAAACAACTTATGGCTTCTTAAGTAGTTTGTCGTTAGTGGATGCTATACTGACACAACACAAAAATATTTTCTATGAAATATTATTAAAATGACCATATGTATACCTATATTCCTATTTATACATGATATATATATACAATGTACAACAAAAGTTTTTGAGACAATTAATGGATCGAAACATACATTATATTTGACCAGTAATACAAAAAAAGTATGTATTAAGTAATTAATATAAAGTTAATTAAAGTGCTAGTTTTTAACTGTATTTATAAATGTTGTAGACTGACACTGTTTATATAAGCATGTGATCAGTACATGATTATAATAATGATGTGGAGTAAAGGTTATTGACCAGCTGCTGATATTGCTAAACATGGCAATTACTGGCAGATACCAGGAAATTATTTTTAAAGTTAATCACAATTGGTCGTACTGAGTACAACTTTTTGTGTTACTAATTGGATTTTAGAGGGAGAAACGTATCATAGTACTTTAATGAATTATTATGTATGTTATTTGACAAATGTGTGATTAAAGAAGTAAATTATTAGCATGAAGATAAAAATAATGATGGTGTAAATGAAAAATATGGGGATGATTTATATTGTAATAAATACATGTATGAATATGTGTGAATTGAGGTAGGCATAAACAAGAGGAAGAATGTACATGTGTAGGTAATTTTTATGATTCATCTATTTTAACTTTTATTTTATTAGTTCTTGTCAGTTTTAGTGAAAAAGGTGTTGATTTGTAAACCAATCAGAAAAGAAAGAATTTAATATAAATTTCCTGATCTGAAGATATGTATGATGAATTACAAAAAGCAATTTTATAAATACAGTCAAACCTTGCTATCTCAAACTCGATGGGACCGAGAAAAAACTTTTACGTTATCCGAATTTAAGATTTGAGATATCAAGGGTAAAATACTTCTATGATTAGTGGTTTGGACTTCAAAATTACTATGACATATATCCATGTTATTCGAGATATAGTTGTTTGAGATACCCAAGTTTGACTGTAGTTATAGTACATAAAGACAGTTTTTTGCTCACGTGAGCTGAAAGCTTAACTAAGCAACTCTGATCACCCGTTGTCGAGAGTCCATCCATCTGACCACCTTTCAGCTGTCCATCCATCTTAAAAATTTACATTTATCGAATTCTCCTCAAAAACCACTAGGCTAATGTTAACTAACGTTGACACAAAGCATCCTTGGGTAAAGGTAGGATGGGGCCACTATAGGGATCAAAGCTTTACATTGGACTATATGTTAAGAAAAATAGCTGAAAATATTCTCAAAAACCACAATAATTAACCATTTATTTTCAAAAATTCTGCTAGGCCATGTAAGTCGTATTGATATTGAAGCATCTCCATGTTGTTTAGATTTTGAGTTAGGGGTTAAGGGTGGAGCCTTAACATGGGTCCCAATTTTTCATGGGAGTTTAAAAATCTTTTAAAAGTCTTCTGAAGAACAGAAGTGCTAAAGTTACTCAGGTGAGTGTTGTGGCCCATGGGCTTCTTGTTGAATGTTGAGTGAAGTTTGAAATTATTTAATTTTCATCTCCAATTTGGCAAAGCAATGGAAAAGTTTTTGAACAGATTTTTGTCCTTGGGATTCATCAGTTTTGCATGATGCCAGACACTTCCAAGAAAAGAAAAATGTAGAGATAAGACAATGAGAAACAATGAGAACTATAACACAAATGGGGTCAGGGAAGGGCATGGTACAAGATCAAAGATCTTAAGCAAGAGAAATTAGGACAATTGATTTACATGTTTTTCAAAACTTGCAAACTATTATCATATGAACAGTTTAAAAATGTACCACTGAATAAAGTAATTATATACATACACCCCTTTTCATCTCTGGAAGTAATTGGTTGTCTTAGAATTACCCAAACACTTAATTAAGAAATTTACATTAATAATAAAGAAACCAAAAATGACAACCCCCCCCCCCCCCCCCAAGGAAACATGACTCCTTCCTCATAAGCTGGTAAACAAAATTTGGAAAAAGGAATTTATGATGAACTTTTCATAAATTATGTTTTTGTCTTAACACAGCCTCTTATCACCTAAAGCATGCTCAAAAGAATACAAATTAAGTCATATTTTATAACCATCAAGAAAATACAATTTTGGAATATGCAGGTAAGAACATCACAAATGGATTAATTAAGAAGCAAGGATTTCCATGTAGTGTAGATTCAGATTTGTTCAATTCATGGTCCTGACCCTGGGGTTTGACCATAGTGTTTGGTGGAGGTTCAAAATTTGCACAAAATATATAGGAACCCAGGATGTAAGGATAAACTCTTTTGTGTATAGTCTGGTAATCCTAGGGCTTTAACTGTCTTTTTCAGGAATAGAGATGTAAGCAATGTCACCCTTTAGGCCTCTCGTGATTTTGTTTGATTTTTTTTTTAGCCTGTTAGTTAATTTTGAGGCTATTGATTTGCTCAACTGCTCTGTTGGGGAATATATCACTTTTCCATGTTATTAAAAAAACAAATTTATTTTGGAGTACATCAAAGAATATTACACCTAAAAAATAATGGCATTTTTAGTATTATTACAACTATTGAAGATGGAGAAAGAAATTAGTTTTTTTTATGTCAGTATCAATATGCTTTTCCTTGGGAAAAAATAAGAGTATTGATCTATTTCAATTTGATATGCATGAGATCAGAGCTGGATAAAGCAGATTTGCAATGAAGGAGATTCTTCAACCATCTTCTGAATCATACATGTCAACCATTTCTTGTATTGACCCTTTGTTCTAATTGCTTGTTTGCTTTTAGTTTCTATCATCTAGAATAAGGGTTTTAATTGCTTACAATACTCTTCAGAATATTTGGATAAAAGTTGAAAATTTATAACATTAAAAATTTATAACATTGAAACGAAGAGAATCCTTGCATTTCTTTCTCATAATTTCATTCCAGTAAATGAATTCCTGTTCACAATGATCATCTTAGTGTGAAATAAGAAGGTACAGGCATTCATTTTTTTTAATGCTCCATCATGTATATTGCAGAGAATACAATGTTAGTGCTGTCTGTCTTCCATCCTTCTGTCTTTCTTTATTTGTTCCCTTTTATGGTCAGCACAGTTTTTGAAGAATTTTCTTCAAAAGATTTTCATTTCATTTTCATTTCATCAAATATATTTTTGGGGGTGGGGGTGGGGGCAAGGGTAACTCGAAAATCACGAGTGTTCCTCATATCCAGATAAATGCATTCAAACTATGCCAGACTTCTTAATGTTGCCTTGACAATGACTTTTTCACATTTATTTATTTTGAATTTTGCTATTCAAATTACTGAATATTGTAAAGGATTACTGAGCCAAATCTCAGTGGAATGCTTTGTGATGCTAAAAAATCTCACCTTGACCTTAAAATCACTTGACCTTGCATTTGTCCTGAAGTGCAGTAACAACTTGTTTCAAATATATGTAACATATAAATTTCTTATGGAGAGAGTTATAATTTCATTCATGCTAGCCTTTTCTGACTTTGACTTATATTGTGATCTCTAAAAGTACATGAACAATGGTATTTAAAATTGATTTCTTAGAATTCCGAGATTCAAAATTAATTGCCTCAAATGGGTGTGACATTGTTAACTTTCTACAAAACCTTGACTTTTTAATATGAAATGCCTAAAATGCTGTTCTTAATTTGTTCAGTAATTTTTGCCTCATGGGTGGACTAGACTGAGGCTTTTAGGATTCCACATAAGATTTGGATGTTTCAGTGAATACTTGCTATCCTTAGTCACTTTAGGTGAGAAGAGGAATCTATGGCTTGTCCTCCTCTGCACGTTCCCAACAAAGGTCAGTTTTCGGTGCTTGCTTTGTTGTGTTTGTGTTTTGAGAAACTGGTCATAGCCAAGCAAAAGTATTTGAAATCTTTCAAAGGAGATTAATGACATCCAGTTGATTTGACTACAGGTTAAGGCAGATAGGAACGGAAATGAGATTTTTATCAAAGGAATAACAAAGACACATCATTGGCCATACATGTGTGCTGTCCAGTTTTACATTGTAAGGTGTGGGCCTGTTTGGGATTGGCTATTTTTCAGACTCTGTCTCACTGAAGCTATGATACCTGCACGGAATAATTAATGTCTATCGTAAATTGAATGCGGATTAAAAGATGCTTGCATACAGTCATTCAGTTTTGTGGTTATTTATTATTTAATTGTAGAGTGTCTCTTCTGCAATGTACTTTTGATCTTTCTTTGAATTTTGATTGCTTGCTCTACAAATAACCAAAAGGCTTTGATATCATGGACAACATCATGGATTTATTCTTAAAGATTATAGTTTGACAAACTATATAATTTTTTGTTGCAATCTCAATCTAGATTTTTTTTTTATTAATTAATTAATTAATTTAAGAGAAGCAGCAATAAAAAAATCTTGGGGCATTTAACCATGTTATTTGCAAAACAGAAACAAAACAAGATGTGTTTGTGAAACAGTGATGCCCCTATATGGCAGCTTCAGGTGAAGGTTAAGGTTTCTCAATTGCAAGTCATACTCCAAGGTCAAGAGATCCAAAATGTTGTTACCCAAAGAAAGGACTTGTGTTAATGGATATACTTGGTAAATATGAAAGCCCAGGCATCAACCATTCAAAAGTTTTAGTCAAGTTTAATGTTTTCTAAAAGTGGGTCAAACTCCAAGGTAAAGGTCAAAGGGTCAAAATTAATGGTAGCAGGGGAAGACCTTGTCATAAGAAATAAACATGCAAAATACAAAAGCCCTAGCACCAACTGTTCA